GCTGGCCAAGGTAGGGTGGTGGTTGGTTGTGTTGGGGTGGTTGAACAAGGTGAGGTGGTTTTCTGGAGGTGCAGGGTTGACCCCAATGTCGCTGTAGGGCGGGAAGATCCCAATCCGTTGGACAGCACCTGAAGCCATCTCCTACCGCAAGTTCACCTCTGCCAGTGACGTCTGGAGCTACGGCATCGTCATGTGGGAAGTGATGTCCTACGGCGAGCGGCCCTACTGGGAGCTCTCCAACCACGAGGTGAGTGCCCACCCTCCACCACCACCTGTGTTTTGGGAGACATTCAAGGCCAGATGGGAAAAGGCTGGGATCAGCCTGGGACAGTAGGAGGCCTTCTCCCTGAGCGGCTCCTGTGCTCAGAGCAGGGGCTGCAATGAGATGAGCTTAAAAGTCCTCCCAACCCAAACCATTCTGGGATTCTGTGAATGAACACCTTTTTTGGGGGACCATCCCTGACCCTTCTCCTCCTCCTCTCCTCCCAACCCAAACCATTCTGGGATTCTGTGAATGAACACCTTTTTTTGGGGGACCATCCCTCACCCTTCTCCTCCTTCTGATAGGTGATGAAGGCCATCAACGAGGGCTTCCGCCTCCCGGCGCCGCTGGACTGTCCCTCGGCCATCTACCAGCTGATGATGCAGTGCTGGCAGCAGGAGCGCTGCCGGCGCCCCAAATTCACCGACATCGTCAGCATCCTCGACAAGCTCATCCGCGCCCCCGAGTCCCTCAAGGCACTGGCAGATTTCGACCCTCGGTGAGTGCAGGGAGCCGAGGATGGGGTTGGGGGCAAGAAGAGGGAGGGGATCAGTTGCCCAGAGCAGCTGTGGCTGCCCCTGGATCCCTGGCAGTGCCCACGGCCAGGATGGACAGGGCTTGGAGACTCCTGAGATAGTGGAAGGTGTCCCTGCCCATAGCAGGGGTGGAATGGGGTGGGCTTTAAGGTCCCTCCCAACCAAACCAGTCTGGGATTCTCTGGTTCGTGCACATCTTTGCATAATTTTGTTTTCATCTTTGCATTTTGTGCATCATTTTTTGCACTCTTGTGGTGCTGTTTTGGGTTGGGTTTTGCATCTCTGCACTCCCTCATTGCTTCTGGCATCTCCATTTCTGCATCATTTTATGGTATTCTCACATTTCCACTTTTTGCAGCATTTCATTTTCTGTGTCACAATTTCATCTCATTTTTGCATTTATTTTTTGGCATCTTCCCATTTCTGCATTGTTTTTCCATCCTTCCATTTTCAGATAATTTTTTGCATCCTTCCATTTCTGCATCATTGTTTTAACCTTCCACTTTCACATAATTTTTTGCACCATTTCATTTCTGTGCTATTTTTGCATCCTTCCAGTTTTCTGCATTATTTTTTCCCCTTTCCATTTCTGCAGAATTTCTCATCTTTCCGTTATCACATTATTTTTTGCATCTTTTCAACTCATGTTATTTTTTCATCCTTCCACTTTCACATCTCTATTTGCCACCCTTTCATTCTTGCACCATTTCTGCGCCTTTCCATTCCTGCACTGTTTTTTTTGCATTGTTTAATTTCTACGATATTTTTGTGTCCTTGCCTTTCTTCATCATTTTTTGCACCTTCCCATTTTCACATTGTTTTTTCACCTTCCCATTTTTGTATTATTTTTTTACACCCCTCCAGTCCTGCATAATTTATTGCATCGTTTCCTTTCTTCACCATTTTCACGACCTTCTGTTTTCACATTGCTTTTCCAGCCTTGCATTTCTGCACCACTTTTTTTGCATCTTCCTATTTTTGCCTCATTTTTCCGCAGGGTGTCCATCCGGCTGCCCAGCACCAGCGGCTCCGAGGGCGTCCCGTTCCGCTCGGTCCCGGAGTGGCTGGAGTCCATCCGCATGCCCCAGTACACCGAGACCTTCATGGCCTCGGGCTACAGCACCATCGAGAAGGTCCTGCAGATGACCAGCGAGTGAGTCCCTGTCCCCTGACACTCCCAGACTGTCCCCTCACCACTCCCCTGCTGTCCCTAGGATGTGTCCCCGCACTGTCCCCATACCCTCCCCTCCAACTCCCGAGGGACAGGGATGTGCTGGGAACGGAAACCACTTCTGTGGCCTTGGTGGCCCGAGGGATAAAATTAGATGTTCCTTGGCTGGAGAGGCCGGGATGAGCTGTATGCGTCCATCTGTCCCTTGAGATGAGCCATGTCCATCCGTTCCTTGGGATGAGCCATGTCAGTCTGTCCATCCCTCAGGATGAGCCATGTCCATCCATCCCTTGGGGTTAGCTATGTCCATCCATCCAGCCATCCCTTGGGGTTAGCTGTGTCCATCCATCCATCTGTCCATCCATCCATCCCTCAGGATGAGCCATGTCCATCCATCCCTTGGGGTTAGCTATGTCTATCCATCCATCCAGCCATCCCTTGGGGTTAGCTGTGTCCATCCATCCATCTGTTCATCCATCCATCCCTCAGGATGAGCCATGTCCATCCATCCCTTGGGGTTAGCTATGTCCATCCATGCATCCATCCCTCGGGATGAGCCATGTCCATCCATCCATCCATCCATCCATGCATCCATCCATCCCTTGGAATGAGCTGTCTCCACCCCCCATCCATCCCCACCCCGAGGACGCTGCTCCTGGCTCCCCCAATCCCGGGCTGTGGCCGTGGCTGGCTCCAGCCCCTCCCAGCCCCACTCCTGACCCCGTGTTCCCATGTTCCCCTTTCCCAGGGACATCAAGCGGATCGGGGTGCGGCTGCCGGGCCACCAGAAGCGCATCGCCTACAGCCTGCTGGGGCTGCAGGAGCAGGCGGGGGCTGGGGGGGCCCCGGGCTGACCCCAAACCCCCCGAACTCCACGTCAACCCCCCCTCCTCCCCGAGGGGTTTATTTATTATTTCTGTAATTATTAAGGGTTTTTTTTATAGTGTTGTTGATATTGTCCCCGCGCCTGGGGATGAAACGGGTGCTGCCCCTTCCCTCCCCCCTAAAAAAATGGAATTTCAAACTTGTTTGGAACTGGGGGAGGGATTTTTCTTCTTATTTTTCCCCCACATTTCAAGAAAAAAAGGGCTCAGTCCCAAAACTGATTTTTTTTTTTGCTTTTTTTCTCCCTATTTATTCCTCTCCCACCGGGTTTTTGGGTGGTTTTTTTGCCCTTTAATGCTGATCTGCCAGTGTTGCCTTGTATTTTTTAACCTAATTTATTCTATTTTTGTATATTTATTGCGAGAGATTAAAGGTCATGTCAGGTTTGGGAGAGAAAAAAAGGGGGGGAAATAAAAAAAACCCAGCTCAGATGCTTTTTTTCCCCCTTTTTTTCATGGGTTTATGGGGATTTTTGTGGGGTTTTGAATAAAAATATGTGCTTTTTGGTTTTCTAGAATATTGTTTTCTCACTGGTTCACAGAGATTGAGGGTATTTGGGGGGCAAAGAGAGGGGGTTTCCCCTGGATTTTAGGGGTTTTAAGGGCATTTAAAGGATTGTAAGAGGGCTTTAAAGGGTTTTTTAGGTGTTTTAAGGATTTTTAAAGGTTTTGGGGGGTATTAAGGGGGAGTTAAGGAGGTTTAAAGTTTTGGGGGTTTTTAGGCATTTTAAGGTTTTTTAAGGAGTTATCAGGGTCTGTAAGGGTGTGTTAGGGGCTTTAAAAGGGTTTTAAGTTATTTTTTAGGGAGGCTTAATGTTTTTTAGGGGGTTTATTTAGGGTTTTTTGGGGGGGTTAAGGGGATTTTAAAAGTGAGAGGGTTTAGGAGTTTTAATGGGGATTTAAATGGGTTAAAGAGGATTTTTAAGGGGGTTTAAATTAGTTAAAGAGGGGTTTTCTAAGGGGTTTACAGTTTTTAGGGGGTTATCAGGGATTTTAAGGGGTTTCACAAGGCTCCAGGAGCGTTTCCCATCCGGGGCCCCTTTCCCCAGCAAAACCCCGGAGGAATTTGGCCTTTTCATCCCCCGCCGCTCCCCCGAAGCCAAAGCCCGGCCGCGCCGGCTGCCCGGAGCCTGCAAATGACTGGGTAGGAAAACGCCGGAAAAAGGGGTTTCGCATTTTTTTCTGCCCCAAACCATAATAAGGGACGGGTGGGAGGTGAGGGCAGACCAACAGCGTGCTGCGAAAGCCGCGGGTTTGGGGGATTTTCACCCCGTTTTGGGGGCATTTTGGCCGGTGGCTGTCACGAGTCCGGGGGGCCGCCCTCGATCACGGCTCAAAGTCCGGCGGCTCCCGGGAGGGGCCGGGCCGGGCCGGGGGGGCACCCCGGGAGGGGCTGGATCGGGGGGGCACCCCGGGCTGGGCCCTGGCAGGCCCCGCTCCCCTGTGTGCCAGGGTGAGGCCGGGCAAGGAGCCCACGGGCTGGGGAAGCCGCGGGGAAACTGAGGCACGGCGACAGCGGCGCTTTTGGGGTGACGGGCAGGGCTGGGGTGCTGCTCGTTGATCACCCGGGCGATCGGGGGGCTGCGGACCCCTCCCCTGCTCCCCTCGCTCCTCCCGTGGGTGCCGCAGCCCAGCCCCGCTCCCAGCGCCCAGCCCGGAGCCCAGCCCAGCTCCTGCCCCACTTTTGGGGTGTCTCTCTGGCGCTGACCCCGCTTCACCCGTCCTGCGCCGGGCCCGGGCATGCCCGCCCTGCCCAACCTGCCCCGCCGCGCCTAATTAACCCCCCAGGCTTAATTACGGCTTCGTTAGCGCCCGACGCGCCGCCCAACCCGCTGCGCTACAGGGGGCACCGAAGAGCTGGGGGGACTCGGCCCCCCGCTCCCCCCGGATTTCGGGGTCACTAAGCACCCACCCCCTGATTAATTGCAGTAATTAAAATGAGGATAATTATGTGCTGATAATTTTAGAATGGGGGCACAAGGGGTGTCGCAGACACTGGGGCACTTCAGTGCATGTCCTGGGCAGTTTTGGGGTGATTTGGGCGGTTTAAGCGGTTGTTGTTGGGTTTGGGAGGGGGTGACCCCCCCCAAAAGAAACCGGCAGGGCTGGAGAAAGAGGAGGAGGAGGAAGCACTGATGGGTCAATGGTTTAATGCACAACACGCTCTGCTGGAGAACCGACGCCCCCAGCACAGACCCCCCACACCGCCGGGGGGTCAGGACTCCCCCTCTTTTCATGGGGGACGTCCGTGGGGAGGGGTCCCCTGTGGTCCCAAAACATCATCACTTGGGGTTGGCGAGGTTCTCGATTGCTCTCCGCAGCTGGAAGGGGACAGTTTTTCCCCCTTTTCACCTCTGCCCTGCTCACGGCTCCCACCAGCTCCCCAGAGCGGGTGACAAAGACTCGCTGCAGCTTCAGCAGCTGGAACAGGTGATAGGCCTGGGAAAGGGACAACAGGGACACGTGGGGACAAAGCCACCCTCACCGTGTCCCCTCAGTGTGACACAGACCTGTGGGGGCTCCCAGGACACATTTCACACCCCCAGACCTGGTGCAGGGAGGTCCACGGGGAGAACTGGAGCATGATGGGCTCGATGGCGCAGTCATCCCCGAGTGTCCCCACAGTGGCCAGCTTCAGGAAGGTGACATGTTAATTTTGGGGTGGAAAAGCAGCTTTTTGGGTGTGGTAGGGTGCCCCTAGCCCATTTACCTTCTCCTCTTGGGGGGCCTGAGGGTGGTTGTGGCTCTGGAGGAAGGTGACCAGCTGGGACCTGCTGATGGTGCCCACCAGAGTGGGGGACCCTGGAGAGAGGGGACAGTATGGGGACAGTGTGGGAGCACCAGGGGCACACCAAGGGAACAGTATGGGAATAACAGGAGGAGGTACTAGGGAACAGAGGGGGTGGGATGGGGGCTCTCCCCCACTTTCCCTTCTCCTTTTCCCCCTTTCTCCCCTCATTGTCTCAATTTTTCCCCCCCAGTTCCCCCCCCTTTCCCTCCTTTTTTCCTCCCTTTTTCCCTCCCTTTTTCCCCCTTTTCACCTCTGCCCTGCTCACGGCTCCCACCAGCTCCCCAGAGCGGGTGACAAAGACTCGCTGCAGCTTCAGCAGCTGGAACAGGTGATAGGCCTGGGAAAGGGACAACAGGGACACGTGGGGACAAAGCCACCCTCACCGTGTCCCCTCAGTGTGACACAGACCTGTGGGGGCTCCCAGGACACATTTCACACCCCCAGACCTGGTGCAGGGAGGTCCACGGGGAGAACTGGAGCATGATGGGCTCGATGGCGCAGTCATCCCCGAGTGTCCCCACAGTGGCCAGCTTCAGGAAGGTGACATGTTAATTTTGGGGTGGAAAAGCAGCTTTTTGGGTGTGGTAGGGTGCCCCTAGCCCATTTACCTTCTCCTCTTGGGGGGCCTGAGGGTGGTTGTGGCTCTGGAGGAAGGTGACCAGCTGGGACCTGCTGATGGTGCCCACCAGAGTGGGGGACCCTGGAGAGAAGGGACAGTATGGGGACAGTGTGGGAGCACCAGGGGCACACCAAGGGAACAGTATGGGAATAACAGGAGGAGGTACTAGGGACACCAAGGGGACATCCTATGGGGACAGCAGGGTGATAGTATGGGGACAGTATGGGAATATCAAGGGGACACCCCACAGGGAAACCATGGAGACAGAATGGGAATATTGAGGGAACAGCATGGGGACACCGAAGGGGATGGGGACAGCATAGACACAGTGCAGAGACACCATGGGGATGGTATGGGAATGGCATGGGGACACCATGGGAACAGTATGGGAGTACTGAAGTGGCACCATGGCAATATTAAGGGCACAACGTGGATACCAATGGGAACAGGACAGCCTGGGAATATCAAAGGACACCATAAGAGCAGTATGGGGACACTGCAGGAACACCCCACAGGGACAGCGTGGGCAAGGCATGGAGATGGCGTGGGAATATCAAGTGGGCACTGGGGGGACACCATGGGGACAGCATGAGGAGACACAGAAGGGCCACCACAGAGCCAGGGACTTGCTGGCCATCCCCCATGGTGACAGTGACCCCCCCAGGTCCCACATCCCACCTGTGCTCTCCACCACAGGGTACTCTGCATCAGCAGTGGCGTCCAAGGCCAGCAGCACCTCCTGGAAACCGTCCCCCTTGGCCAAGGCCACCACCTGGCGCTCCATGAACTCCTCCACCACCACTCGGTAGGAGCTGGAGAACACAAACCCCCAAATTTCCATTGTTTCCCAGAGAATGCCCCCAAAACGTGGGGTTTGGGGCGGGGGCTTACGCGATGTGCCGGCTGCGGATGGGGGGCAGGTAGGGCAGCTTCTTGACGATGATGCCGGCGTCGTAGAAGGAAGGTTGGTTCTTCTGGCTGATGGCGTTGGCCACCAGCACGGCCAGCACGGTGGGCAGGACGTGGCCCAGGTACCCGGTGGCCTCGCACACCAGCAGGGCCGTGGACACCGCGTGGGTCACCGAGCCCGAGAACGCGGCTGCGCCTGGCGGCAAGGGGGGGTCAGGGGATGGGGGTGGGTGTCCCCTGCCCGTGGGGGTGTCCCCTGCCCGTGGGGTGTCCTCCACCCCGAGACTCACCAGCCAGGGCGTAGCCAGCGGGAATAATGGGCCGTGGGAGTCCTTCTGAATGGAGCCCCTGTGGGAAGAGCAGGGCCACCACCTCCCCCACCAGGCGCCCGATGGCTGCTCCTAAAATTGGGTGAGGAGGGAAGGTGGGGAGACCCCAGGAGGCCCCCCCACAATGGTGGAGGTAGAGGTGACCACCGTCCTGCAGCTGTCCTGGAGCTGGATGACTCCCCTGCACCCCCCAGACTGGATGTACCCCCTCCAGGGCTGGGCACACCCCCAGTATCCCACTCCAAGGGCTGAATGAACCCCCTGCACCCCTCCCACGGGCTGGCTGTCTCTGCCATGTCCCCCCATGGCCTGTCTATCCCTCCCGTGTCCCCCCTCGGCCTGGCTGTCCCCCGCCATGTCCCCCCAGCCCCCAACTCACCATAGATGAAGATGGGCATGAAGTACCCGGCTGGCAGGGGCAGGGTGGTGGCCAGGATCAGCATCCAGAACTGGGGGGACACAACGGGGGTCACCCCATGGGGACACCGTGTTGGGAGGCACACCCAGAGATTGGGGAGCCATGGTTACCTTCATGAGCAGGAAGAAGGTCAAGGTGCCATAGATGGTGGCAGAGGGATGGTCCCACTCCTGCCAGAGCCCCCCAGGCTTGGCCACCCCCGAGGTGTTGGCAGCCAGCACGCTCCACGTGCGGTTGTCAAAGAGGGAGATGAGATGTTCCTTCATGGTGAGCTGGACGGATGGACACATGGACAAATGGACACCCTGAGCCCCTGCTGGGAGGTTTTGGGGTCCCCAAGGAGACCCACGTGCCCCCACTCACCCTGGAGGCCATGAACTGCCCCAGCCCAGGCGGGAAGGTGATGGAGGCGAAGAGCAGCACCACCAGCACCGTGTACACGGGTTTGCTGCAGGGGGACACAGGGGCTGGGCACATGGGGACGGACAGACGGAAGGATGGGGGGACCCACGGACACCCCGGGTGCATGGGGGACATCGGGGCACCCAGGGTCGGTGGGGGGGACATATGAATGCACAGGGTGGACACATGGCCACCCAGGTGGATGGGGGGCATATAGGGACACTTGGGATACAGGGAGGGGACACAGGGACACTCAGGGTGCATGGGGTGGATGTGGAGGGTGTATGGAGTGGATGCATGGATGGCCAGGGTGCACAGGATGGACATACGGACACTCAGAGTGGGTGGACAGGGTGCGGGGCGGGGGGGGGGGTGGGGCACAGAGACACGCAGGGTGAATGTGGGGACACAGGGACACCCAGGGTGGACAGGGGGGACACAGGGACACCCAGGGTGAATGGGGGGGCACACAGGGACACCCAGGGTGGATGAGTGGGACACAGGGACATCCAGGGTGCTTTATGGGAGGCACGCAGACACCCAGGGTGTATGGGAAGGACACAGGGACATGCAGAGCCTGCACGGCACGGACACACAGACACAGCGGGTGCAGGGTGCAGACAGACAGATGGACGGACGCCCAGTACGGACTCGGTGGCCAAGAGCTTGGCCGTCAGCCGGTTCCTCTTGACGGCCACCATCATCCAGCGCTGGCAGAAGAGATAAGCACAGGCCACGATCCCACAGATGGCCCTGTGAGGAGAGGGCAGGTAGGGCACAGGCAGAGCACAGACAGCACCCCAAAACCAGACCCTCCGTACCCCAAAATCAGAAAAAAGAAGGTCTCCAGGAGGTCAAAGGGAAAATCAATCTTGAGGTCACTCTTAAAAACAGCGGCGATGGTTTCTGGGAGGGAGGACAGGAATGAAAGTGTGGGTTTGGAGGTGAGCACCCCAAAAATGTCCTGGGGGAGGGTAAAGGGGAAGAGGGGGCACATCCTGCCTGCCCTGCCTTGCCTTGCTCGCTGTTGAACACGGCCAGGAGCCGAAACATGAAGGCACCGCAGGTGGCGGCGAAGAAACCGCGCCAGTAATCCCGCACGGCAAAGTGGGGGGACATCACCTCGATGCTGAAAAGCACCCCTGGAAAAACAGGAAGAGGGATCAGGGCGAGGTTTAGGCGTGCCCAGGGTGGGATTAGGGGGGTCCTTACCGCTGATGGGCGCCCCGAAGACTGTGGCCACCCCAACGGCTTGAGCTGCCACCAGCATCTCATGCTGCTTGAACTTGTTCTGTAAGTTGGGGGGGGTTAGGCACAAAAAGGCACCTTGTTCTGTAAGGTGGGGGTAAAATCAAATCCCTCCATTCATTTTTTGGGCAGTGGCACCCTCACCTCATATTCCCTCGTGACCGTGGTCCTCATCTTCCCCAGATAGGCTGCGGCCATGGCAGAGAGGTGGACATAGGGACCCTGGGGGGACACAGTGCTGAGCGGCCCCCCCCACCCCCGGCACCAGCTGAAACCGCCGGGGATTTTGGGGTTCAGAAGGGGATCCCTCACCACTTTGCCAAGGAAAATGGTGCTGCCGCACGTCAGGGTGCAGGTCAGCCCCACCACCTTGGCTCCGAAGTTCTGGATGGCCAGGTAGTCCTCCAGCACCACACCCATCAGGATGGTCTTCAGCTCCGGGATGCCGGAGCCTGGGGTGGGGGGCAGGATCCAAATTTTAGGGGTCCCCCATTACCAAGGGGGCATTTTAGGGAGCCAGGGAGGTCGGGGTGCAGCCGGCTCACCTCCAGAGTGCGGGGTGATGCTCTGGGAGAAGCCAGTGGAGAAGGCGGCCAGTGCCATGGGGAACAGGGTCCACGAGAGGAACTTGAGCACCCCGATGTCCCCGATCTCTCGGTACAGCCACATGTGGGCTGGAGGAGAGGTGTCGGGAGGGGAATGCACCCCCCTAAAGACCCCCCCCATATACTCGGTGAACCCCCAAACGCCGGTGGAGCCCCCCGGGGCACCCCTGTTTACCCGCGTACATCCTGGTGACGATGATGTCCATGGCGAAGCTGATGGTGGCCATGAGCACCCCCAGGATGAAGAGGAAGTACCAATCCTCCCCGACGCGGAACAGCTGCCGCCTCACCCACTCCAAGCACCCTGCGAGGGGGGACACAGGGTGCTGACCCCCTAAAAACCCCTGCCCCCAGAATCCCCCTTTTTGGGTAGGGGTCTCACCTCGGACCCTTCTCCGGGCGGTGGGGCAGGGTCTCCAGCTGTGCTCTGACACCAGCACCCTCTCCTCCTCCTTCTCCTCTTCCTTCTCCCCCCGCAGCCCCCCGGGGACAGGGCGCTCCATCCCGGGGACGTTTCAGGGGACTGCACCCCCGTTTTTGTAGCACCCCTAACCCGTCCTCCCGCCTCGGCCTCCGCTGCCCGACTGAGTTTGCAAACGAGCTCATTAAAAACGACCTTGACGAATCCGACGGACCCGCTCGGGCCGGAGCGAGCCGGGTTTCCCCCCCCTCCACCACCCTGCAGCTCCCAGTCCCAACGTACATCCCGCGGCGGGGAGGATTTAATGAGTATTTTAATTAATTATCATGATTATTCTTTAATAATAGGCATCGCATTCCGTGGCGTTGAGCTGGGGGGGGAATGGAGAGGGGAAAAATTTCCACCGTCTCCGGCGCAAGACCTAAATTTAGCCGGTTTTACGAGAGGTCTGGCAGGCGGCCGGGAGCCTTAACGAGGCTTTAAAAAGCTCGTCAAGTCGAAATATCCCGAAATAACCGATCCGGCGTCGCCTTCGCCGGGAGGAGAACGAGGAAGGGGGTTCCGCTCTTTCCCCCGGCGGGAGCTGGGGGTCGCAGGTGGGGGCAAGCAGTGGCTGAAGGTGAAATCCTCGCCCGCCGGCACCATGGAGCTGTTCGGGAGCTTTGTCCGGCCCCACGGGGAGACCTTGGGGTTCCCAGGTGAGTTTGGGGCGCACCCGGGAGGCATTTGGGGGGATCCTCGGCAAGCCGTGGCTGAGACCCCCCCCCCAAACCCTGCCCAGCAGCTCGCCCCGGTAACACGGGCGTGGTGAAGACCCTGGGGAACACCTATCAGTTCACGGTGGACGTCAGCGACTTCGCGCCCGAGGACATCATCGTCACCACCTCCAACAACCAGATCGAGGTGCATGCCGAGAAGGTGGGTGCTCCTTCCCTTCCCTGCTCACCCCCAAAGCGGGGGGACCCCAAAATCCTCGCTGGGGGTGTGGGGACCGCCCAGCTCCCACCCAATTCCCAAACAGCTGTGGCTACAACCCCATCAGGGTTTAATTCACCATTAATTAATAATGGGGAATAATGAGTCCCCATTCTGCTTGCACCCCAAAATCGCCTCTTTTCACCCATTTTTTTCTCCCAGTTGGCCACGGATGGCACCGTCATGAACACCTTCACCCACAAGTGCCAGCTGCCCGAAGACGTGGACCCCACGTCCGTGTCATCCTCGCTGGGGGACAACGGGATGTTGACCATCCGGGCTCAGCGCCGGCCGGCCAAACACTCCGAGCACGTCCAGCAAACCTTCCGGACTGAGATCAAGATCTGAGGGGTCGGGGGGCTCCTTTCCCCCCCTCTCCTTTCCCTCCCTCGCTACTTAAATGGGTGATTTGGGAAGGAAGTGGGATGTGGGGCAGGGAATGGGAAGGCTCCCTCCAGAGTGGGTCAGACCTGTGCTGAACGCATCCCGTCACCCACCGGAGAAACTCCGGAGGGGAGTCCCAGCTCCGGCGATTTTTAGCTGGCGCGTGTTGAGGGGGGAGATCCAGCGTGCCAAGAATCCTGCCGGGAGCCAGGTTCCCTTCCCAGCCCTCTGCCAGAGCTTGTCTTTGTATATAGAGCTTGGGATAAATTATTGACAATGTCCGACTGCCGCCTTCTCCGTTTTTTGACGTTTCCCTGATGCTTTACCCTCAAAAAGGGGCGCGGGTTCAGAGCCGGGGGGTGTCTCGGTAAGGGATATTCTGCCATCCCGACAAAAACCCGCACCAGGAGCCGCTCGGGCGCCCGCTGCCCTGTTTATTTCCAGCCCGGGGTGACTCATTTCTTCCCCGAAGCTCTATTTCAGAGCTATTCCCTCAGCTGTCCGGCTGCCGACCCACCTGGAAGGGCACCAAACCCTCCTCCTCCTCCTCCCCTCGCCCACCCTCACGCAGCACCCTGGGGATGCCCCAAGGCCGGCACGGCGGCCCCAAAGCCGAGGGCTTGTTCTGGGGGAGGAAGGGCCTGGCTGCGCGTCCCTGTGTGTACCCACAACAGCGAGGCGCCCGCTGGGGCAGCAGCGCCTGTTTATGGCTACACAGCCCGGCTCGTGTTGCTGCTCCGCCCGGGCAGCCCCGGCCACTCGTGACTGCCAGCAGCAGCCTGGCAGCGGCCCAGGCACGGCGCTCAGGGCGATCCCCCTGCGGCAAAACGGGTCAAAAGCGATGGGTGAGGTGGGGAAGGCTCGGGGAGCCCGGGCGGGGGACGCGGCTGCTGCGGCCCCGAGCAGCCAGCGCCGGTCACTGGTTGCCATCTAGTGGCCCTGGCCCAGGGAGGTGCGGAGAGACCAGGAGGGAAACGGGGAAAGCGCCCGATTTCTGCCCGAATCGCTCCGGGACAGGGCAGGTGTGCACAGGGCTCAGCCCGGCCCCGAACACACCCCACAGCGGCTCGTTCGGGGCAGGAAAGCTGGGGAAAACCCAGGGGTTTGGGACGTGTTTAAACTGTTTGTCAATGATCTGGACAAGGGGATCAAGGGTACTCTTGTAGCCAATACAAAACTTTTTCACTTATTTATACATTTTAAGCAAACAAATGAATGTTCATTGGTTCTAGGTCACATAATTATCTTCATTAATTAGCATGTCCTCTATTGGTTATTGATCTCTATAGTCCTTTTATCATCTTCTCAGATGGGCAATCCCCAGTTTTCCAGGTCTTAATCTCTGTATTTTCTGGTTACTCCAATATCCTTGAAGGGCCATAAATTGAAGATCCCAGACATCCAATTTTCAAATGCCTTTGGCTTTATTGAAGCTTGTCAGGATTAGTTTTAACAAACTTAAGGTTTTGCTGATTAATGATCTGAGTAACAAGAGTCTGTGTAGAAACTTAACTAGTACTTGCCGAAAGTGAGTGCCGCTTACAATTAATTAAAACAACTAATTAAAAATTAGTTAGGAAAGTTGTATTATTTCCAACAACCGGAACCTTCTCCCTGACAGAAGGATGGAGCCAAGAGAACAAGTGACAGGAAAAGAGGAACGGCATCCAGTTGCGGCAAGGGAGTTTATGTTAGATTTACAGAGAATTCCTTCATGGAGTGGGTGGTCAGGCTCTGGGACAGCGGCGGAATCGCCACCTCGGGGGTGTTTAAGCAGGGGTGACGCAGTGGCTCGCAGCACGGCTAGCGAAGAACACGGTGGTGGTGCCAGCACTGGGACCTTCGAGCTGTGCTCGGCCTCCCTCAGCCCCTCATAGCTCCTCTGTCCCTCATGGCTCCCCTGTCCCTCATGGCTCTCCTCAGCCCCTCACAGCGCCTCTGTCCCTCATGGCTCCCCTCTGTCCTTCATGGCTCTCCTCAGTCCCTCACAGCACCTCGGCCCCTCATGGCTCCCCTCTGTCCCTCATGGCTGTCCTCTGTCCCTCACAGCGCCTCTGTCCCTCATGGCTCCCCTCTGTCCTTCATGGCTCTCCTCAGTCCCTCACAGCACCTCGGCCCCTCATGGCTCCCCTCAGTCGCTCATGGCTCTCCTCAGACCCTCACAGCGCCTCTGTCCCTCATGGCTCCCCTCTGTCCCTCACTGCCCTCAGTCCCTCAGCACCGCCCCCCACTGTCATGGCAGCGCCTCTGCGGCGGGAAGGTGACCGGGCCCTGCCGCGCATGCGCGGTGACGCTGCCGCCGCTGGGCGGGCCAGGGCGACGCCGCTTCCGCCCGGTGCCAAGATGGCGGCGCCCTTTGTCTGGTCGGTGTCACGGTGAGGGCCGCGGGCTGCGGGTGAGGCCCCGCCGGGCCCGGCATGGCAGGTGCGGCACAGGGGCCCCGGGAGAGCGCTGGAGGGGCTGGGGAGAGGGCTGAGTAGGACACCGGCGCTGGGAGGGGAGGAGGCTGCGGCCTGGCTCGCTGCCTGTGGGGTAACGGAGCCGCTTTGGGGGTCACCCCGGTGCGTGGCCCCCGGTTCTTTGAGGGCAGGCTGCGGGGGGGGGCGGTCCTGCTGGCGGGCCCTGGGAAACGGGGTGCTGCCGGCCGTCGTGGCGGGAACGGGGGATTGTCGCGGTAGGAACGAGGGGCTGCCGGATATCGTCAGGGCTTGTTGGCTGCTGCGAGGGGAGCGGGGAGCTCCTGGTTATCCTGAGGGGAATGGGGGCTGGTGGCTGTCTGAGGGGCAGCGGGGAGCTGTCGTGAGGGGAATGGGGCTTCTGGGTGTCGTGAGGGGAGCAGTGGGCTCGAGGTTGTCGTGAGGGCACCGAGGGGCTCCTGGCCGCACCCCCGCCCGGGGTGTCCCCGGCCGCTGTGTCCCCCGCCAGCCGTGAGGTGACTCGGGGCGAGGCCATGGACGAAGCCGTGTGTCCCCCGGGCTTGGGGCATCTCCCTCCCCTCGGGCCCCCCAGAAATCCTCCCGGTGTTGGGGAATGGGGGTCACAGCCCGGAGGCAGCCCCAGACACATCCCCGCACCTCAGGGACGGGGAAACCGCAAGGAAAACAGGGTTTTCCCCCGTTCTGGCGTTCTGCCGAGGTGACAGCCCCTCCTGGTTGTCCGTGCCCTCTGCGGGTCGGCATGGGTGACACATTTCCTGGACCTGCCGCGTTTCCTTAGTTTTGTTTCTGCATCTGAGGTTTCTGCCGAGATTCCAGCCCTCAGCCAGCATTCCAAAGGGTGTTTTTCCCCGAGGAGACAAGAGTTGGTCATCCCTGGGTGCTGCAGACACAGGAGGGGTTTCAGGGCAGATCTCAGGCTCAGGTGGTGTCTTGGTGTCCAGAGCAGCACCAGCACATCCGTAAGCCTGAAATCCAAATAATCCTCAGGATGTCTGTTCCCTGTGGGGTGTCCAGGATGTCCCTCTCCTCGTGTCTTTCTCATTCTATTTCCTTTTCACCACATTTTTTCCTCTTTGTGATCATTTCCCCTCTCACAGCTCGCCTTCTGCTTCCGACCACAAGCTCTGCACCCCTTCCCTGTTCCATGATCCATGTTATTATATGGAGTTGCTCCGCTCAGATCAGCTCCAGACTTCACTTTTTTCATGAAAACCGTTGCAGGATCCGTTCCTGGAAATGAGGACAGAGCCCTGTGGGCAGAGGCAGCGAGGGTTGGGGCCGCGTTGTTCCCCGAGCTGACGCACGAGGCGGGAGATGACGGTGGGTAGGAAACAAACCCCCTCTTCCCTTTCATCTTCCCAGCACGGATGGCTGGGTGGTGACAGCCTGGAAAGGCAGTGTTTAACTCACTGTTTTTTCCAATTTAGGGAGGTTTGAAGGTTTTTAATAGGTAGATGTTCATGTGGCAGGGAAGGGGAGAGGTAATGTCACTAATTAGCGAGAGTGCTTAGCAGAGCTCGCGTGGGAAGCTCCCAGGGACTGCAGCTGCTGTATTTATCTGTGTGGAGGGTGTGGGTGGGCTCATAATGAACTTCTGAATGATTAATTGGATAATGAGAGACTCAACAGCCTCGTCAGGGAGAGGTCGGGAGGGGAACTGTCTCCCCTGAGGGGAAATCAGAGGATCCCCAGTCCTGCATCAGGGATTTTGTACCTTCAGCACCCAAGACTGGAGGTTTAAAATGGAGGTTTTCCATCCCATTTTTCCCAGGATGGCTGCATAGAGACTGACCTGAACACCTGGAAAGGGGAAATCTCTGCAGGAGAGACACAACCCTCTGGCCCGCGATCCTCTGGGTATCTCTGCTCCCTGCAGCACAGGGGTGAGCTCGGGCACCACTCCTGGGGATTGGGTCCAGGTGTTTGGGATTGTTAAACCTCAGAGTCAGGGGTTTTGGTGGGTAAAGGTGACATTGGCTGCTGGGTGTGGGTATAGAGAGCTCATCCAAGCCTCTCCCTGCTGCGCTTCCACGGGAGCTGGAACGTGACATTACAGGGGAGGCTACAGAAAATAGGAAGGGTTTTTTTTTGGGAGGAGCTGAGTTTCCTGGATTTTTACTTCCTTCTCAAAGCTGGGGAGCAAAGCTGAGACGAGTCCATTCCTGGAACGTTAGAAATCATCGTTCAGATGCGAAGTGCCTCCCACAAATTCCCCAAAATACCCTTTTAGTGCATGGAGCTGTCAGGATTCCTCAGGTTCTCCTGAGCAGAGAGCTCTGCGAGCACGGAACACAGCCTCGTTTACCCTACAGGGAAAATGCTCCCCCTTTTCTCCAGAGCTTTGCAAACCACAGTGGGCCATGCTGTGCAGGATCTTGACCCAAGTACTGTTTTTTCTGGCTGTCAGGGATGTATTTTGGGACAGGCTGGGTGAGTTTGGAGGGCTGGGGGTAAGCCAGGGCAGGGAATTCAGTGCAACGACAAAATGGAATGGAACTTCCTCTCTCTGTGTGTGATCCAATGCTGTCACAGAGGTCCTGGCCTCTCATCCACAGTAGAAGGGAATGCCTGTGGAAGCTGAGTGAATCCCTGGGAGGAAAATCCTTCCCTGAGTTGCTGGCACCCGCAGCTGACAGGAGGAGGCTCCCTCTGAACACTGATCACTGGAAGGAACAGGAGCTGGAAGTGCCTGACTTGGAAACTCCTTCTTCCTGACTGGAAACTCCTGATTTAAGAGGTGATGAAGTGGAAAAACAACTTCCATGGGCTGGAAACTTTCAGAGACCCCAAGCATGGAATCCAGGAGTGTTTCCCTAGCTGTAACCTTCCTGCTCCAGTGTCCAGAGCTTTGGGGACTTCCTGCATGAACAATAACTGGATAGTCCCTGTTTCCTTTCTCCCCCCTCCTTGCCAATCCCTTGAAACAATCCCTTCAGCACCGGAATCATTGTTGGAAGACAAAGCCAAGTGAAAACCTTCATTCACCCTACGGATGCAGCTCAGGAGAAAATCCACAGTGTGGCACTTTGCTGCTGGAAAATTGGGGTTTTGCCATGATTCCAGCAATTTGCAGCATTCCTTAGGCAGAGCTGTGCTCCAGGCCTGGAGAACTCCCTCTAAACACATAATCAAACATAAAAATTCCTCATTGTCGTGACATGAGCAGCTGGAAGAGCAGGAGCTGGAAGGTTTGGATGAACACTCCCGTGCTGTGGCCTTGGCAGGAGCTGTGACACAGAGGAGGGACGATGGCACTTGTATCTGCAGAGGTGACAAGGCTCCTGCTCACTGCTTGGACCAGCTGAGGAACAATAACTGTTCTGAATATTGTCATGGTTGCTAAAACCATCATGGCTGTTCTGTCAACTCCTTCTAGCCCTGTGTTGGAGTCGTGGCTGTTCTAGGAGAGGGTTTGGGGTTGGATGAGAGGAGCTGAAATTCACCTTTTTGGGCCGTTTTTTAACTACGAGGGCAGTCAGGTTGTGTTTTGTGATCTCTCCTCCTCCATGACCCCTTCAGTGGTTTCACCACACACCTCACCCCCAGCCCTGTGGTGTCTTTTCCCTCCCACAGCCATGGATTTCCCGCAGCACAGCCAGCAGGTGCTGGAGCAGCTGAACCAGCAGCGGCAGCTGGGGCTGCTCTGCGACTGCACCTTCGTGGTGGACGGCATCGACTTCAAGGCCCACAAGGCCGTGCTGGCCGCCTGCAGCGACTACTTCCGCATGCTCTTCGTGGACCAGAAGGACGTGGTGCACCTGGACATCAGCAATGCTGCAGGTAGGCCTGGGCTTTTTGTCCAGGATCCCTCCCAGCTTCTTAAAAAAACACAGCTTGGGCTTCGAGGTAGGCTCTTCAGCTCGTTTCAAAATGAAGGAGTGAGGGGTGAGGGCTTATTTCTGATTGTGTCACCTCCCCTGCAGGCCTGGGCCAGGTTCTGGAGTTCATGTACACGGCTAAGCTGAGCCTGAGCCCTGACAACGTGGAGGATGTGCTGGCCGTGGCAGGTTTCCTGCAGATGCAGGAGATCGTCAGCGCTTGCAACGCACTCAAATCTCTCTCTGTGCCCCCAGAAAATCCCCCTGGGGTGAACCAGCAGCCCCCTGAGATCGGTACGTACCCTCCTGGCTTCCCCTCACCCAGGCGAAGTCATGATTTACCCATTTACACTTCATGCAGTCCAAAATTTATCCACTTGTGCTCCTTGGCCACCTTGCAAACCCAGTTCCCGGGTGCATCTGCTGTGCCTGAATAGGGTTTGATCCTCTTGGGCAGAACCAGCAGTTGAAAAATTGCTGCTTCTGTGAATTTTGTGGGATTTGGGAATCTGCTAGCAGCAGCAGCTGGATGGTTCTCCCGTTCCCTTGCAGGAGCCGACAAGGTGCCGGCTGATGACAAGACATCGGCGGTGGCAGAAGCTCTGGGGGAGCCTGACAAAGCCAAAGCAGCTGCTCCCGACACCGAGGGGAAGGAGGGGAAGCCGGAGGCCGCGGCACAGCCTGAGGTGCCTGCGGAGCAGCCGGCTGGCCAGGAAGGTGAGCCAGCGAGAGGTGACAGCCTGGGTCCTGCTGTCACCCCCAGCACACCCTGTCCTGACACTCCGGCGCTCACAGGGACGGGCGCTGCCATCCAGGAGGATCCCAAGGCCGACGTTCCCGGGCTCCCGCAGCCGTTGGAGAGCGCGGTGGGCAGCGGCAGCCTCGCAGCCACGGACACCACCGGGACAGTTGGTGAGCGGGGCTGGGATGAAGCTGGGCAGGGCTTGAACCCTCGTTGTTTGTGGAATTAATTGTGTGAGTTTTGTGAGGCACGGATCCTCTGGGAGCAGTTTTCCTGGAGCATAGTGAGGAGAGGTGGGGGAGAGGTGGGAAATTCTCCTCTGCCTGCACAGGTTTTGGGAATTCAGGGCTAATCACCTGTAAATTCAAAGTGATGCCAAGCAAAAGTGATGATGGATGAACTTTCACTTCCTTTCCAACTCAGATGTTTCTGTGATCTCTCTGGGGACAGGGGACGCCTAATCCCAGTCTCTTTACATTAGGAAATACAGGTGGATTTGTGACTCTGGTGCCACTCCCAAATTTGAGCATCCCCATTTTCTACCATCCTACAGAGATGAAGCTGGAAAGGAAGGAGGAAGAGGGGGAGATGATAGTGGAGGAGGAAGATGAGGGTAAAATCCCCAAGGAGGAGCCTCCCCAGCTGGAGAACGGGGAAAACACTGAGGATAACGAGTCGGGAAGCACGGATTCCGGGCAGGAGAACTCCGGGGAGCCGCGCCTGCTGCGCTCCGGCACCTACAGCGACCGCACCGAGTCCAAGGCCTACGGCTCCGTCACGCACAAGTGTGAGGTGAGGCCAGGCTCCTGGGCAGGGCTCCAGGTGCCACTGGGTGCCCTGGGGACAGTGGGGTGACAGTGCCTGTCCCTCCATCCTTAGGACTGCGGGAAGGAGTTCACCCACACCGGGAACTTCAAGCGGCACATCCGTATCCACACCGGAGAGAAGCCCTTCTCGTGCAGGGAGTGCAACAAGGCCTTCTCCGACCCGGCTGCCTGCAAGGCCCACGAGAAGACACACAGGTACAGGTGGAGCCAGGGAAAGACACCTGAAAAATCTGACGTTTGCTGGGAGTGGTTGAATCCTTTGAAAATCCACTGGTGTGTTGGTGTATCGGAGAGATTTGTCTTTCTGCCTCTGCCTCTCTGTCACAGTCACAGAATAGTCCTGGGTTGGAAGAGATCCAAAAGGATCAAGTCCAAATCCTGGCCCTGCACAGACACCATCAGAATCCCATCCTATGTCTGAGAGCATTGTCCAAATTTGTGTTGTTTCATGGACTCCCTGTCCCTGGAAGTATTCAGGGTTGGCTGGGGCTTGGAACAACATGGTCTAGTGGCTGATGGGGTCTGATGGAACAAGATGAGCTCAGAGGTCCCTCCCAACCCAAGCATTCCGTGATTCCTGGGTCTGGCTGGGTGTGACATTCAGACTGGGGCAGTGAGACCCCAGTGCTGGGTGTGACATTCCCCCCTCATCCCAGCCCACTGAAGCCGTACGGCTGCGAGGAGTGTGGGAAGAGCTACCGGCTCATCAGCCTGCTGAACCTGCACAAGAAGCGGCACACGGGCGAGGCCCGCTACCGCTGCGAGGACTGCGGCAAGCTCTTCACCACCTCGGGCAACCTGAAGCGGCACCAGCTGGTGCACAGCGGGGAGAAGCCCTACCAGTGTGACTACTGCGGGCGCTCCTTCTCCGACCCCACCTCCAAGATGCGCCACCTGGAGACGCACGACACCGACAAGGAGCACAAGTGTCCCCACTGCGAAAAGAAGTTCAACCAGGTGCGCTGGGGAGAGGGGCCAGCGTGGTCCTGGAAGGGAGATTTGTCCATGGGATGCAGTTTGGGGCTTCCAGAGTGGTCCTGGGATGGTGGTGTATCCATGAGGTATAGTTGGGGGTCCAGAGCAGTCCTGAATGGGTGGATTATCCATGGGAGTCAGCTTGGGGGTCTTGGAGCTTGGAAAGAGTGGTTTATCTATGGGGTGAAGCTTGGAGATCCCAGAGGCCACTCCAAAAGGGATCCATGGGAATTCAGGTTGCTCTGAAGGGAGACAAGGTGGTTTGGGGCTCTCTTCATCCCATTCTCCATCCCCAGGTGGGGAATTTGAAGGCTCACCTGAAGATCCACATCGCAGATGGGCCCCTGAAGTGCCGGGAGTGCGGGAAGCAGTTCACCACCTCAGGTAACACAGGGGAGAGGGGCTGAGGGGCTGTGTGACAGCACTTAGATGGTCTGGGGGCAACAAGGAGTATTCCGGGGCTGGATCAGAGCCAGAGGAAGGATTTCATCCCAGCTTTACGGTGCCAGTGTTGTGCTGCATGAATTCCTGGTTTTCCCCATGGAGCCATAGCCTGGAAAGGAGATCCTCATCCAAATGTTGGAGATGCGGATGTCTCCTCCCATCTTCTCTCAGCCTTCTGCAAAGCCAGAGGGTTAGAATGATCCAAGTGGAATCTTTTGATCCCCTCAAACACTGGGTGCTTGTCCTGGCTGTCTCCACTTCCACGTTATTGCCTGATCCCAGGCAGGGTGGAGCCAACTTCCCTTGATCCCTGCACAGTCCCTGCTCCCTGAACAGCACCAGGCTTTCCCAAGGGAGCTACTGGGGCTCTGGGAAGGAGGAAAAGGGGGAGGAGGATCCGGTGTCCTTCAGCCTGCCCTGCTCCCAGGTAACCTGAAGCGGCACCTGCGGATCCACAGCGGGGAGAAGCCGTACGTGTGCGTGCACTGCCAGCGCCAGTTTGCCGACCCCGGCGCGCTGCAGCGCCACGTCCGCATCCACACCGGTACGGATACGCTCCTGCCCCCCGAGGGTTCTCCTTCCCCTCGTGCTCCCCACCCACCTTCTCCTGTGCTTCCCCAGGAGAGAAGCCGTGCCAGTGCTTGATCTGCGGGAAAGCCTTCACCCAGGCGAGCTCCCTCATCGCCCACGTGCGCCAGCACACCGGGGAGAAGCCCTACGTGTGCGAGCGCTGTGGGAAGAGGTGAGGATTCCCGTTGGGAATGCTGGGAGGGGCACTTGGGTGGTGGTGGAGTATCAGGGGGCACCTCCACTCGCTGCTCCCAGCCAGGTGCTGTTCTCTGGAGGGAGGGTGGAGGTGCCAGAGTGATACCATGGATTGTGGTCACCGTGGTGTCATTCCCCAAGGTTCGTCCAGTCGAGCCAGCTGGCCAACCACATCCGTCACCACGACAACATCCGGCCCCACAAATGCACCGTCTGCAACAAAGCCTTCGTCAACGTGGGCGACCTGTCCAAGCACATCATCATCCACACAGGTGGGTACCTCCCAGAGCCCTGCACCGCCCCGGGCATCACCGCCTCACCCACCCCCATTCCCTGTCCTCTGCCAGGGGAGAAGCCATTCCTGTGTGACAAGTGCGGGCGTGGCTTCAACCGCGTGGACAACCTGCGCTCCCACGTGAAGACTGTGCACCAGGGCAAGGCTGGCATCAAAATCCTGGAGCCCGAGGAGGGCGACGAGGTCAACATCGTCACGGTGGCGTCCGATGACATGGTGACATTGGCCACCGAGGCGCTGGCTGCCACCGCTGTCACGCAGCTCACAGGTGAGCTGGGGGCCCATGGGGTTCCCCGAGGGAGTTCAGCCATTGGGGGGGCAGCTAAGGGAGCCATCCAGAAGGGATGGTTAGTAGTGGGGTGCAGCTGGGAGGTCCTGGAGTTGTCCTGAAATGGAACCTTATCTATAGGGAGCAGCTGGCTGGTCCCAGAATTGTCTCCAGAGGGAGATTCATTTATGGGGGTTCAGCTTAGGGGACTCAGGAGGCATCCCAAAAGGGAAATGCACCCATGGAAATGCAGCTTGGGGGTCTTGGAGATGTCCTGAGAAGGAGGTTTATCCATGGGGTGTAGCTTGGAGGTCCCATATGCCATCCCAAAAGGGAATTTTATTCCTGGAGAGGAGCTTGGGTGTTACATGAGGCCCCCCAAAAAAGGAAAACTTACCTGTAGGGAGCAGCTGGAGGGGCCTGGAACTGTCCCGAAGGTGAGGTGAATTTATGGGGATGTAACTTAGAGGTCCCAGGAGCCACCCTAAAAAGGAAACTTGTCCATGGGATGCAGCTTGGGCATCTCAGGACTGTCCTAAAAGGGGGCTGGATCTCCAGGGAGCAGCTTGGGGTTCCAGGAGACACCCCAAAAATTAGATTTTTCTGTGAGGGGCAGCCTAGGGGATCCCCAGAGACATTCCAGAGGGGAAGCTTATCCCTGGGGAGCAGCGTGGGTGCAGTGGGGCAGTCCTGAAAGGGAGGTTTATCCATGAGGTGTGGTTTGAGGGGCCCAAGAGTCACCCCAAAAGGGAGATTCATTTGTAGGGGGGCAGTTTGGGGCTTTTCCATGGGGTGCAGCTCAGAGGGCCTGGAGCCCCCAAAGGTGCTGGAGATTTATCCAAGGGCCTGGGCAGCCTCACATCCCACTGGAGCCGCTCCCAGCCTCAGCACCGGGTAGGATCCATGGTCGGGGGGGAATTCCTGCCCAGCCAGGCCCCCGTAATGTCCCTGTCCCCCTAATGTCCCTGTCCCCCCTGTTCCCACAGTGGTGCCCGTGGCGGCCGCGGTGACAGCAGACGAGACTGAAGCACTTAAAGCTGAGATCACCAAAGCGGTGAAGCAGGTGCAGGAGGCAGGTGAGGCCAGGAACACCGGGAAAACCGGGCTGGCTCCTCCCATCGCACCACCCCCGTGCCTCCCCCATTTTGGTGTGTGTTTCTCTCTCCCTCGGCAGACCCCAACACGCAGATCCTTTATGCCTGTGATTCCTGCGGGGAGAAGTTCCTGGACGCCAGCAGCCTGGCGACGCACGTGCGCATCCACACGGCCCAGGCGCTCGTCATGTTCCAGGCGGAGCCCGACTTCTACCAGCCCTACGGCGCCGCGGGCTGGCCGGCAGAGCAGGTCATCCCCGCCGGGGAGCTCCTCTTCCGCCCCCGCGACGGCCCCGAGCCACCCCCGGCCGCTGCCCCGGCCCCCCCGGCCGAGGGGCCGCCCCCGGCCCCCGAGTGACCCCGCCCCCGCCCAGCCTTTATTTAAGAGACAGCTCGGAAATGGTGTAAAAAGTGTATTTCTGGAAGGAAAGAGATGGAATAAAATGCAGTATTTTGTAAGGGTTGGTGCTCGGCGAGGGGGCTGCGGCTTCCCCCACAAGGGGAGGTTTTGGGGTTCCTGCAGAGCTGGAGCCCAGTGAGGGGGGGACTGAAACACTCCAATCGCTGCTGAGAGTGTGGTGTGTTAAAAGCAGGGATAGATAAGATGAGAAAGGATAAAAACGGTGTTTTCAGGTTTTCAACCCCATCCAGAACAGCAGCTGGGGATTTTTGGGGTAAAGCCCCAAAAGACCCTCACCTGCTGACCCCCACCGAGGGAGGGGTGTGGAGGCAGGGAAGATGCGCTTGTTTGGGGATAGAAACAGGAAAAAAGGTGCTGCTGGATGGAGGTGGGGGATGGGAGCCACTCCTGCCCCACCCGGGGCCTGGGGCTCAGCTGGGCACACCCACAAGGGACCCCCAGGCCCTGGAGCTGGGAAGGGGGGGCTGGGGGTCTCAGGGCCATGTGTCCATCCCTGTCTGTCCCTATCCCGGGGGCTGCACTGGCTCCAGCCTTGTCCCCCCCACTGCTGGAGCTGGGGCGCTGCAGGACCCCCAGCAGGTGGGAGGGGCAGGAGCCCCAAAATCTGCCCCTGTCCGTGTGTCCAGCTGGACACTCCCCCCCTGCTCTGTCCCCTCAGAGCCCCCAGCTCCCCATGGTGGGGAGGGAAGGGAGACACATGTCCAGCCAGGACAGACGGACACGGAGATGGCTGCAGGGACAGACAGACATGGAGATGGCTGCAGGGACAGACGGACACGGAGATGGTTGCAGGGACAGAGACACGGAGATGGCTGCAGGGACAGATGTGGACAGGACGTGGAAAGCTCTGTGGATGGCTGGACAGTGGCAGAGACACACGGACAGGTCACCTTCGGGCTGGACACAGTTTCACATCCAGTTGGACTCCTGGACACGTGCCTGTCCATCCATGTGCCCACCTGTGCAACCATCCATGTGTCCATCTGTCCTCATCCCTGCTCTCCAGCCTGGGGGGGGTTGGAGGATTCAGGACGGGCTGCGCTGTCCAGCCAGACACATGGACAGGGCGGTTGGTGTTGGGCAGTCACGGGAAATGACTGGACAGATGGACAGACAGATGGATGGACACAGGGATGGTTTGACAGGCAGACACAGACAGGGACATGTCCAGCTGGACACACGGACAGTTCTGTGGATGGACACATGGCTAGCTTCATTCACAGCCAGACAGAGGGACCATTGCAAACAGGGCGGTTGGTGTTGGGCAGTCACTGGAAATGACTGGACAGATGGACGGACGGATGGATGGACACAGGGATGGCTTGACGGGCAGACACAGACAGGGACGAATCGCTGGTTTTTGGAGAGGGGCCTTGGGGACAAAAAGGGCATTTTTGGGGCATTTATGCTTATGGATGGATGGGGAAGGTGTCTGTCCAACTGGATGTACAATGTCCGTGTGTCCAGCTGGCTGTACAATGTCCAATTGTCGAACTGGACACACAATGTCCAACTGTCCAACTATACATACAATGTCCAACTGTCCAACTGGATGCACAATGTCCATCTGTCCAGCTGAATGTGTACGTCCACCTATCCACTGGACACACAACGTCCGTGTGTCCGGCTGGATGTACAGTGTCCAGATGGACGGACAGCTGGACACAGGCATGGCCATGCTGATGGACGGAGCTGGACAGACCAACAGGGGAAGTTCAGCTGGGAATGGGGATGGTGGATCTGTCAGATGGACAGAAGAACAGGGGAGTGTCCAGCTGGACAGATGGACATTGTACGTACAGCTGGACAGATGGACAGTGTACGTCCATCAGGACACAGACATTGTACGTACAGATGGACAGTTGGACATTGTATGTCCATCTGGACACATAAACACTGTACGTACAATTGGACAGTTGGGCAGGCACCTGCTGAACCAGACACCTTGAGGGGCCTTGGGGACAAAAAGGGCATTCTTGGGGCATTTACGCTCATGGATGGAGGGGGAAAGTGTCTGGCTGGGCATGAGCATGTCCAGCTGTCCAACATTTGTCCATTTGGATGTCCATCCATCTGTCCGTCCGTCCATCCATGTACAATGTCTGTGTGTCCATCTCACAGATCCATGGAATGGGTGGCTGAAGGGGATGGGCCAAGATGGACGGGCAGGCCCAGGCCCAGGCCCAGCTGGGTGGATGGACGGACGTTGCACGGACACCTGGACACACGGACAGTTCACACCTGGCCAGACACCCAGGCAGCGCCCTCTACCCCCAGTCCTTGCACAACACCCCAAAAATGCCCCTTCCTACCTCAAAGGCACCACTCCGAAGCCAGCAGGGTTGGACCCTTTCCCCCTGCCCCAGCAATCTCCGTGTCCATCTGTCCAAGCCCCATCCGTGTCTGGGGTCTGTCCATCGGTCCTGCCTCTCTCCCCCCTCCCTGGGGGAACAGGGGGAATCCAAAGTCCCACCCTGACCCCCCCAGTGGGACTTGGGGGTCACTATGGGGTGTCCTTGGCCAGGCTCCCCACACCCAGCTCCATCCTGGGGCACCAGCAGCCCCTTTTTTCCCTGGTTTTATCCCAAAACAGGCTCTGTTCCGCCCCCCATCCTCAGCCTGGGGCTGCAGGGGGAGGGCCTCCCTTGGTTTTGGAAGCCACCCCCCCAAATTCTGTCCTAAACCTCCTTTTTTACCACACCTGCTTGATTTTAACCCATTTACTCCAGCCTTGATTAGGCTTCCCACTTGCACCTGGCAGGGATTTGGGTGGAAAAGCAGTGAAAAACATCAAGTCTGGCTCTTACATTTCCAAGCACGATGAATGTCAGCAATCCAGGGATAATTTTCGGCGAGGAGTTGGTGTGCGGTGAGATTAAAAGTGGGGCAAACCCTGCGATTTCAGTTTCCACAAGTATTTATGAGACAGGAGGGAAAATCCAGAGGAATTGGGTTTAGTGTGATGAAATGTCCTTTTTTCCTGGCTGTTTTTGAGGGAGAGGGGGTGACCCCTCCCTGGCAGCCCCAAAGCTCCTTCCCCTTCCCCCTCCCCACGCCGAGGGACGAGGTCGGGGCGCTGACGTGTTTTGTATTTTTTAATAAAGTTCGTAATCCAATGGACACACAAAACAAAACTGCGCTGAGAAAAAAAAATAAACCAAAAATAAACAAAAAAAAAAACCAAGTTCCATAAATTAATTAAGTGTTAGGGGAGGCGAGGGGGGCCGGGGCAGAGTCTTTGTACAAGTGTATAACACTTCCACAGCTGATGAGACGAGGGGATGTTTAAATGAAGCGCACTTACAAATGAGTGACAATACAAAGTCTGAGTATGAAAATAAGATTTTTTTTCTCTGAAAACACATTTTTGGCACAGATTAAAAAAAAATGTATGTTGTGGGGATTTGATTTTTTTTTTTAAAGTCAGTATTATATATATTTATATATATTATATATATATTTATATATACACACACCCACTGAGTTCTGCATATCCCACCAGGAAGGAAAAAAGCTCTCCCTTTTGTTTTGTTGTTTGTTTTGTATTCTCTTGTTTTTCAGTGTAAACTGTACATCCCAGATGAAGAGAAGACGGCTGCAGCAGGGGCAGGTGGAGGAAGAGGAAGGTTCACATCCAGAAAAAATAACCCCCCCCAAAAAAATAAACAACCCCAAAAGAAGGAAAAAAAAACCAACAAAAAACCCAACGAAACAACCAATAAAATAAAAAATGACTGTGAAATGCTCCTTGACCCACAAATCTCAGCAGAGTCCCTGCGGAACGTCCACGGCGCGGTCAATGTGTGTCAGGACATCCAGAACGTCACAGCGTCTCCAACTGTGCAAAGTCCGAGTCACTAATTTAGTGCAAAGGCAGTTCAGGTTTTTATTTTTTTCCTTTTTTTTTTGTTAAAAGAAATAAGCCACCCTTTTCTCTTTTTTTTTTTTTTGCTTTTTTGTGTTTTTCCCCAAAAAGGAGGCACAGGAACCCAAGCCCAGTCCACCTGCTGAGTGCATCAGTTGTCCATAAGCTAAAGCAACATGTAAACATCCAAGGTTTGATCGAGGCCGGTCAGGCAGGAGGCTGGTTTCTGGCAGCATATTTCTTGTTTCATATCCTTCTCTCCTTCTTTTGAATTAGTTTTATTTTAAAATTAATTTTTTTGTGTGGTTTTTTTTGTGGGCTTTTTTTTTTGTTGTTGTTGTTGTAGTTGTTTTTTGCTGCAGGGCCTTGGAAAAATTAAAAAAAATTAAAATAAAAATAATAAAAAGTCAGTAACTGGTAAACAGCTCATACCGACGCGATGACAATCATCAGGTGAGGAGAGATGTTGGAGATGCTGGCGAGGAGGTCTGGGGCCAGGCGGGACAGGTGGCTTTCCGAGAACTCGCAGGGTGGGAAGATCTGCAGAACGTAGGCAGGCTGCAGGGAGGGAAACACCACGGATGAGAGGCAACCCACACCCACAGAGGTTTAAAAATGGCACATTTCAGTGATGTTCTGGGTGCTTAAAGGATCCTAAATCTTGTGTAAGAAAGAAGACAAGGGTTTTGTTTCCCAGGTGGGGAGTTTTCCACACCACGGGTTGATTTTGCTGGGACAGGCAGAAAAATTCCCATTAATTATAATTTCAGTGGTTGCTCCAAGTGCTGGGCTCATTCTGGGCTCCTTACACCCAGAATTAAATTGCAGGTTAAATTGCAATCAGTGTAGCAACACACCTGGAATAAATCCTCCACAGGACCAAATGCATTCTACAAGAAAACACCATCTGTCTTGGAAAAATCAGGATATGGGGAATAAACCAAGACTCTACTTCAGAGATAAAGAGCTGGGAAATGCATTTGAGAAATGCCCTTCAGCCAAAGATGATGAACTGGGAACACACCAAACACACATTTGGGGGTTTTTTTGGCTTTGAGGTTGCTTTCATCGATTCCATCACTGATTATTGATCCCATCAAAAATTTATGGATTCCATCCATAATTTATGGATCCCATACATGTCTTTGATGGGTGACGGAAATGTGGGGGCTG